CATCACTCTCCTTCTTGGTAAAATAGCCCTTACACAGCCTGGAGGTGTGTTGGGTCATTGTCCTGTTGAAAAACAAATGATAGTCCCACTAAACCCAAACCAGATGGGATGGCTTATTGCTGCAGAATGCTGTGTATCCATGCTGGTTAAGTGTGCCTTGAATTCTAAATAAATCACAGACAGTGTCACTAGCAAAGCACCCCCACACCATAACACCTCCTCCTCCATGCTTTACGGTGGGAACTACACATGCAGAGATCATCCGTTCACCCACACCGCGTCTCACAAAGACATGGCGGTTGGAACCAAAAATCTCCAATTTGGACTCCAATTCCACCGGTCTAATGTCCATTGCTCGTGTTTCTTGGCCCAAGCAAATCTCTTCTTCTTATTGGTGTCCTTTAGTAGTGGTTTCTTTGCAGCAATTCGATGATGAAGGCCTGATTCACACAGTCCCCTCTGAACAGTTAATGTTGAGATGTGTCTGTTACTTGAACTCTGTGAAGTATTTATTTGGGCTGCAATTTCTGAGGCTGGTAACTCTAATGAACTCATCCTCTGCAGTAGAGGTAACTCTGGGTCTTCCATTCCTGTGGTAGTCCTCATGAGAGCCAGTTTCATCATAGTGCTTGACGGTTTTTGCGACTGCACTTGAAGAAATGTTCCGTATTGACTGAACTTCATGTCTTAATGTAATGATGGACTGTCGTTTCTCTTTGCTTATTTGAGCTGTTCTTGCCATAATATGGACTTGGTCTTTTACCAAATAGGGCTATCTTCTGTATACCACCCCTACCTTGTCACAACACAACTGATTGGCTCAAACGCATTAAGAAGGAAATAAATTAAATAAATTAACTTTTAACAAGGCACACCTGTTATTTGAAATGCATTCCAGTTGATTACCTCGTGAAGCTGGTTGAGAGAATGCCAAGCGTGTGCAAAGATGTCATCAAGGCAAAGGGTGGCTATTTGAAGAATCTCAAATATAAAATATATTTTGATTTGTTGAACACTTTTTTTGGTTACTACATGATTCCATATGTGTTATTTCATAATTTTGATGTCTTCACTATTATTCTACAATGTAGAATATAGTCAAAATAAAGAAAACCCCTTGAATGAGTAGGTGTGTCCAAACGTTTGCCTGGTAGTGTATATTTAGAACACACTACATCCCTGTAGATACTTCATGTACTGTTCTTCATCATAGACAATGTCTGGCACATGATTTGACTGTAAGACGTGATTGAACCTGTACAGTGTTAACAGGACCTTATAGGCCTATGTGTATGGTGATAACTGTCAGTTGGCATGGCATGGATGTGTGCCTTTCCAAATTGTTTTATTTTTTTAATGCTTTTTTCCTGAATGGCTCATTCCCCTCCTGGACACATTTGGACCACTTTAAAGCATGTCTGACTTTAAACAGAGTTCCAGTTTTGACCTCTTGACCATTGTTTGTTTTGTCTGTTGTGTCAAATAATAATATGACATGTGTTTTATTAAAGTATATTGTGTTTTTATTTTCCATTTCATAGGGAGAATAAATGTATTATGATTGTTCTGATAGAATCCTGTGGTTGTTATGGTAGAATCCTATGGTTGTTCTGATAGAATCCCATGATTGTTCTGATAGAATCATGTGATTGTTCTGATAGAATCCTGTGATTGTTCTAGTAGAATCCCATGATTGTTCTGATAGAATCCTGTGGTTGTTCTGATAGAATCCCATGATTGTTCTGATAGAATCCTGTGATTGTTCTGATAGAATCCTGTGATTGTTCTGATAGAATCCTGTGATTGTTCTGGTAGAATCCCATGATTGTTCTGATAGGAATCTGTTGATTGTTCTGTTTAGAAATCCCATGATTGTTCTTAATAAGAATCCTGTGGTTGTTCTGATAGACTCCCCCATGGTTGGTTTCTGGATAGAATCCTGTGATTGTTCTGATAGAATCCTGTGATTGTTCTGTTGGTAGAATACCTGTGATTGTTTCTGATAGAATCCCGTGATTGGTCTGAGAGATCCCGTGTTGTTCTGATAGAATCCCGTGATTGTTCTGGCATTAGAACTCCCATGATGGTTCTGGCATAGGAATTCCCATTGATTGTTCTGATAGAATCCCCATGATTGTTCTGATAGAATTCACCATGAGTGTTCTAGCATAGAAATCCCTGATTGTTCTGATTAGGAATCCCATGATTGTTTCTGATAGAATCCCATGATTGTTCTTATATAATTTTTAAACCACCACAACATCAAAGCAGTAATAACACACTGGGCTCTGTGCTATATTTTTATTTATACCCTCTCTCTCCTCCTCTTGGCGAGAATAGAGAGAAGTGAGAGATAGACAACGAGAAGAAGGAGGAGAGAAGAAGAGAGAAGAAGAAGGGAAGGAGAGAAGAAGAAGAGAGGAGAGAACGAAGAGAGGAGAAGAGAGAAGGAGAGAGAAGAAGAGAAGAGAAGACGAGGAAGGAGGAAAAGAAGCGAAGAAGGAGAAGAGAGAGAAGAGAAAAGAGAAGAGAGAACGAGGAGAAGAGAGGAAGAAGAAGGCGAAGAAGAGACGAGAGAGAGAAGAAAGAAGAGGAGGAGCAAGAAGAAAAGAGACACGAGAAAGATCACAGGTAGAACACAAGTGAAGATGCAGACCCGTAGAACATACCATCACCGAGCTAACTAAAATAGCAGAGCCATACCCGGACAAATCTACTTATACCCCTCCCCTCTCGCTACATATCCCTCTCCCTCTCCTCCCCTCTCCTCTCTCCTCCTCCCCCTCTCCTCCTCCACTCGGGTGTTAACGTGTGAGCTAGCTGCTTGTAGACACAGATCAGGGTTGTGTTTTTTCACAAGCAAACACAGAAAAACATTGTTCTATTTAAAGTGAATCAGAGTTCTCCAGTGTGGTCAGTCACTTCAATCACTGGAGAACAACAAGCTGTCAACAGAAACTTGACTGGAAACATATGTCTCTTTACTCCATCACTCCATCCATCAGCCCCACTGGCTCATGGGAATAAAATCATGGGTTGTTCAGATGCTGTGGAGATGCAGTTAAAAGTTCATAAAAGTATGTTAGTATTGTGAGTTGCCATCCTGTGGGAAATCTCCTGTTGTGTTGTGGTGTAGTCAGGTGTGATATAACAGACTAGATCACATGTTGTGGTGTAGTCAAGTGTTCAGCACTGGGGGGTGGGGGACACCATGTGATGTTCATAGGGGGGCAGCCAGGGACACCCATGTTGATGTTTCATATGGGGGTGGCAGCGTGACACCCATGTTGATGGTTCATATGGGGGGTGGCAGCAGGACAAACCATGTTGATGTTCACTATCGGGGTTGCAGCCTGAGGAAACCAATTTGATGTTCATATGGGTGGCGCAGGACACCATGTTTTTTTTCATATGGGGGCAGGGGACACCATGTTGATGTTATAGGGGGTGGCAGGGGGGAAAACCCATTTTTGTTCAATGGGGTGGCAGCAGACACCTTTTGAGTTCTATGGGGGTGGCAGGGGGAAAACCCAAATTTTGATTTCATATGGGGGGGCCCAAAGGAAAAACCATGTTATGTTAAAGGGGGGGTGGCAGAGGACACCATGTTGATTTTCGCACTGGGGGGGCAGCGGCCCTTTGATGTTCACCGGAGGGCCCAAAGGACACCATTTGAGTTAATGGAGTGGCAGCGGGACCCATGTTGATTTTTCATATGGGGGGCAGCAGGACACCATGTTGATTTTCAGCAGGGAGGGCAGCGGGACACCATGTTTTTTCCACTGGAGTGGCAGCAGGACCCAGTTGATTTTAAATTGGGGTGGCGCAGGACCCCATTTTTGATGTTATTGGGGTGGCAGAGGCCCATTTATGTTCCAACGGAGGGGCAGCAGGGACCCATTTTGATGTTCACACTGGAGTGGCAGCAGGACACCATGTTGATGTTAATGGGGTGACGCAGGACCCAGGTGATTTCTTTGGGGTGGCACAGGAAAAACCAGTTGAGTTCATAGGGGGTGGAAAGGGGGACACCATTTGATGTTTATGGAGGGGAGCGGGACACCATTTTGATGTTCATATGGGGTGGCAGCGGGACACCATGTTGATGTTCATATGGGGTGGCAGCAGGACACCATGTTGATGTTCATATGGGGGGGGCGGGACACCTGTTTATTTTCATATGGAGTGGCGGGGGGAAACACCAGGGTTGAGTTCATATGGAGGGCAGGGGGACACCATTTTGATGTTATATGGGGGGGCCGGGACCCCCATGTTAGTTCTTTGGGGTGGCAGCAGGACACCATGTTGATGTTCATATGGGGGGCGCAAAACCCATTTGATTTCTATGGGGGGCAGGGGGGACACCATGTTGTGTTCAATGGATGGCACAGGACACCTTTTGGTTAATGGGGTGGCGCAGGGAAAACCATTTGAGGGGTTTCTAGGGGGTGGCGCGGGAAACACCGTTTTGTTTCATATGGGGTGGGCACAGGACCCCATTTTGATTTTCACACTGGAGTGGCAGCGGGGACCCCTTTTTGATGTTCTTTTGGGGGGCGCGGGACACCTGTTGATTTTTCATATGGGTGGCAGCAGGCCCACCATGTTGATTTTAGGGGTTTGGCAGCGGGACACCATTTTTGATGTTAATGGGGTGGCAGCAGGACCCCATGTTGATTCTATGGGGGCAGCAGGACCCCATGTTGATTTTCACACGGGATGGCAGGGGACCCCATGTTATGTTCACACGGATGGCGGGGAAACCCCCTTTGAGTTCATATGGGGTACAGCGGAACCATTTGATGTTCTTGGGGGAGCGGACCCCATGTTGATGTTCTTTGGGTTGCACAGGACAACCTGTTGATTTCATATGGGGGGTCAGCAGGAAAACCCCGTTGTGTTCATAGGGGGGCAGCAGGACACCAGTTGATTTTCATAGGGAGGGGAGGGGGACACCATTTTGATTTTCATATGGAGTGGGCGGGGGGCCCATTTTGGTTCATATGGGGTGGCGCAGGAACCCTGTTTTTTTAATGGGGGGGCAGCGGGACACCATTTTGGATTTTTCATTGGGGGGGGCAGCAGGACCCCATGTTGAGTTCATAGGGGGTTTGGCAGCGGGACACCATGTTGTTTTTCTATGGGGGGGGCGGGCCCGGACACCATTTTTGAGTTCATTGGGGGTGGCGGGGGACACCATTTTGATTTTCAATGGGGGGGGCAGCGGGACACCATTTTTGATTTTTCATATGGGGTGGACAGACACCATTTGTGTTACACGGGGATGGCAGCGGACCCATTTATGTTCTTTGGGGGTGGCGCAGGCACCATGTTGATGTTATAGGGGGTGGAAAACACCTTTTGATGTTCATTGGGGGGGCAGCAGGACACCAGTTGATTTCAAGGGGGTGGAGCAGGACCCATGTTGATTTTCATTGGGGGGGCAGCGGGGACCCCATGTATTTTCACACGGAGTGGGGCAGGACACCTTTGATGTTCAAGGGGTGGCAGCGGGCCCCCCATTTGATGTTATATGGGGGGGAGGGGGGAAAACCTGTTTTTATAGGGGGTGGCACGGGAACCCCATGTTGATTTTTCATAGGGGTGGCAGAGGACACCATGTTGGTTCAACTGGAGTGGACGGGACACCATGTTAGTTCACACTGAAGGGGCAGCAGGACACCATTTTGATGTTCATATTGGGTGGCACGGACACCATGTGAGTTTGGGGGGTGGCACGGACAACCATGTTATTTTATATGGGGGGCAGCGGGACACCATGTTGATGTTTTTGGGTGGAGAAAGGCACCATGTTGATTTTTAATATGGCGGGGGACCCATGTTGATGTTCTAGGGGGTGGCAGAGGACACCATGTTGATTTTCATAGGGGGGTGGCAGAAACCCCATTTGATTTTCTATGGGGTGGCAGCGGGACACCATTTTTGATGTTCATTGGGATGGCAGCGGGACCCATTTGATTTCATAGGGAGTGGCAGGGGGACACATGTTGATTTTTCATTTTGGGTGTGGCAGCGGGACACCAGTTGAGTTCAAATGGGGGGGCAGCAGGAAAAACCAGTTGATTTTTCTATGGGGTGGCAAGGGAACAATTTGATGTTATATGGGGTGGCACGGGACACCCATGTTGATTTTCATAGGAGTGGCAGCAGACCCCATTTTGATTTCTATGGGGTGGCCAAAACACCATTTTGTGTTCTAGGGGGTGGCAGCGGACACCATGTGATTTTTCTTGGGGTGGCAGCAGGACCCCCAGTTGATGTTCACACGGATGGCAGCAGGCCCATTTTTATGTTCAATGGGGGGGCAGCAGGACACCATTTTGATGTTCTTTTGGGTGGCAGCAGGACACCATTTTTATTTTCATAGGGGGGTGGCAAGGACACCATTTTGAGTTCTATGGATGGCACGGGACACCATGTTGTGTTATATGGGGTGCACGGGCCCCAGTTGATGTTATATGGGGGGGCGCGGAAAAACCATTTGAGTTCATTGGGGGGGCGCAGGAAAACCAGTTGATGTTAAATAGGG